AGATTACTTTTCCCTAGGTGTTTGTCTTTCTTTTGTTGTCGATGCACCTTCTGCGCCGTGTGCATGATGGTCAATGGCGCATCGACCGTTTTCATGCTTTAAACTGGGTATTCTTCAAATTTTTGTAATTTAGCATGCTGTTACTTTCGAAAGAAACTGTTACATAACTAGTTCTGTTATTTATGCTTGCTGCTGTTGTAGAGCACTTCTTGTCTTAGTCCTTGAAGCCAGACTACGGTGTGTGCGAAATGAAGGCCTGAAGATGGGTTAAAAAATCCGCTGAGCCGCGGTATTATCAGATCAATTAAAACCGCCAGAAAGTGACTGAGAGCAAATTTTTCTGGGTTAAACTAGAACTGTTAAAATATCAACCAGAACTGCCAGAAGCTGACGGGTTGAAATACTTTTTCTCCCCATATGTGGATGAGACGTGTACTGAGAGCAAAACGCGCGTAAGAAAGGCGTAAAACCTAGAATTAGACCCCAGTCTGGTCTCTCAGCCGTCAGCGATCCGTCCCTCCCTTTGTGATAAGTATATTAGCACGTGAGTTTGCTGTAAAATTTAGTGTCTCGCCCAACCGACCCAAATTTCGACTATTCTTTTATTGTGTTGGTAAAGTTTATTTGATTAGCACGGCGTCTTCAACAAGCAAATTTAGCACCATCGTCGTCGCCCGAGTAGCGGCATACATCATCTTCACGCCCAAGCATCTTCATTCTCAGACCAACACGTATGTGAACGAGACGTGTCCCACCGCTTGCACTGCAATTCTGTACAAAAGTTTTTAAAAGTAATGAGTTTCGCCAAGATCTGTACCGACGAGTTTTGCCATGTTTTGCCAAGACTGATAAGCACGCCAACAATACAACCAGTGCTGAGATGAGAGGGTCGCCAAGATCATCTGGCTTTTAAAGTGATGGAAATGCAGAGTCATGCTCTCTACACTCTTTTAATCAAAAATTAAAGATAGAAACAAATGTCACACAAGTTCATAAAAATTGGCCAACGCACGGGCTGCCCGTGCGAAGGTGCGTTTTTTGCACAGTTCTCCGCTAGCTTTCGTCGCTAACAGCACTGGTTTTACCGGCAGATGCTACTAGCTGAAAGAATTGACTGACCATCA